AGATTTGCATGTATGTGTAATGTAGTGAGTTTGCCAACTGTGCGGCACAGGAGAATAATTATTGTTGGTACAATTGCACGCTAGCGCTGCGTAGCCGAAAAAGTCGAGTCAAAATTTGTGCAAATTCTCTTTTCTAATTAACTGGAATTATGAAATGTGAACAAATAAAGAAATCTTTCATTATTGAATCAGTTTGTTACAGAGGTTCTGGCTGAAGAACAGATTTTATTGCTTGATCATTTTTATGCAATGAAGAAGGTTTGAAGCGATATGTAACTGGCTAAATTGATTGACAACTAGGACAAGTGTCGTCGTATTCGTTGATCCTGTACTATAAGTCCAAATTGAAAAATTTATTTCGGAAAATAATGGTATAGTATCTCCTGCATGCAAGGTGGTCTAATGACCACATTTCATTGGAATTTTAGGATTAATTGAGCTGCAATCAGACTGAAAAATTTTCACAACCTGGAACTGGGAAAATGGCTGTAATTATTAAACAACTCCGCCAAGTCCCTGCTTTTGTCCCTCTGGGGTGGGTCAAAAACTGAACATCTCCAGCCAAGTCCTCGCAAATGTTTAAGTAGAGTGGGGCAGCAACTTAACTCGAACAACCCCAGCCAGGTCCCTGCTGTTGTTCCCATAGGGTGGGACAACAAATTGTACAACTTTGGCCAAGTCACTGCTTATGTCTTAATAGAGCGGGGCGGGAAATTGTACAACCCCGGCCAGATCCGTGCTGGTGTCCAAGTAGAGAGGGGCAGCAAAGTGTACAACTCCGGCCAAGTTCCTGCTTTTGTCCCTCAAGGGTGGGTCAAAAAATTGACCAACTCCAGCCAAGTCCTCACTAATGTTCCAGTAAAATGGGGCAGCAAATTGTACAAGCCTGGCCAGGTGTCTGCTAAGGTCCTCGTATAGTGGAGCAACAAATTGTACAACCACGGCCAAGTCTCTCCTATTGTCCCGGCCAGCGGGGCATTTTTTGGACATCCGCGTGTGTGTGTCCCGGCAACTTTTCCAAAGGCCCAGATCCCTCGTTGCTGGGACTGAGTGCATCAGTTTGCTGTGGTTTAATTCAACCTCGTTTTCACGGTTTCCAGCATTGCCCCAAATGAAGGAACCTCTGGGGATGAGGTAGTACAAAAACTGAGTCCCTTTTTTGAACAGTAATACATGTGCAAAAATCAACAAAGAAAACCTATTTTTATAAGTCACCATTCGCAACTATTGACAACACTGCTTGAAAATCAACAAAATCGGTACAGAAATTTTCAATCGAGCTTTGGAAGATTTCCGAAATGGAATTCCTCCTGTGTTTTTCACATAACTGCGATGGCTATTGGTCATAAGGATCTCCCTTTTTGTCAGGGAACCAGACAATGCTTTGTGCTAATTTTCTATGAAATTTGTACCTTGTCTAAAAATTAGTCAATATTCAACCCTGAATTGTCTGTGCATGGAGGAATGGTGTATGGATAATTTGTGTATATGGTATTGTTTGTCGCTGCCATGCTGAGGGCAATGGGATGAGCAGACAAGCAAATAGAACCATTCATAGCGTTTCAGTATCATTTTGTTTGGTCACATGGGCCGTTTTCCAATACTCGACTTCGGCTCCGTCTCAGGCTTGAACTGTTTTTTTACTACCTGACTTTGAAGTTGTAAGCGCAATAATGAGTTTGGTAGTGTCACAAAAACATCAAGTAAGATGCAAATGAGCCAAACATTACAGAACTTCTATTTAATTTAAACGCTTCAGGCCCACAATCGGGGATTGGTTTCAAAGACAAAGCCTGAGACGGAGACGAAGTTGAGTATTGGAAAACGGCCATGGTCTCTGGATGCCAATTGCCATAGAGGTCGGGCATGGCAGCCATTTTTCGGTTAGGGAGCTTTTGTTCCACAGGGATGCACCTTTTTGGTGCTATCCTTCTGTAACAAAAGCAGTTACCGCCATGGCTGCCGTGCATAAGTTTTGTTCCTGGTCTGACTGTTGTGCTTTCACTATGCACATGTGCATGCTTGTCACCTAGCCCAGGCTGGACGTTGTATTCATTTCATTACGACTGACGTCTAAAAGTTGTGTACAAAACGACCACAAATTTGGCTCTAATTTGTTCTTGGTTTACCTTTATAAAAAAAACTAAGTTTTCACGTTTACAAGTTTTTCGAGGCCTTATCTATCCGTGGGGGGGGGTAGGAATTTCAAAACAAACCAGGGACTGCAAAATCCAGGAAAATAAGTGAGAGACGATGTTACTTTTGTAGACGTCATTTATCCGTTCCCAAGTCTTGTTACATAAGTGCACGCACGTACATGTACAGTACAGCTAGCCGCGCTGCGTGCACACATACGCGTGCGCAATTTCCAATGAAGGTCTGTTGCTCACCTGCTACTGGGAGGCGGTGGCAGGTACCCAGCTTAACCCGCGTGTCGTCGAGCCGCTATAAAAAATGCAGTTCCGTTTTTGTCGGATCTGGGGCTTCAGACTGTGCAAGCTGCTATTTTATAAGAATAACCTCGGTTAGTGTAGAAGGCTTTGTATGTTCAGGGTTCTCGTGGTTGTACGGCAAGAAGTTCATCAACGATCTCTCTTTGAAGTGTTTAACATGTTTAATTTGTTCGTAGAGTTTTATTGGTTAAAGATGTATAAATACACAATATTGTAGAGATCAGATTTTTATTAAAATGAACAAATTAACTTATCTTGATAATTGAGGAATAAAAAGAGGATTACATTGCGGGCATGATGATCGTGATGAACAGGAACACAGTATGCAGAGGCAGTACTGGCGTGCGCACGCGCGGTAAGTAGCGATCACGCACACATCGTGTTGTTGATCGGCCTGTCTTTTTTTTATTCGTAAACTAAACATACAGTAAGCAGACTGAATTGGTAACTGGCAGTGACGAGTTAGATTTTAGAGCAATGGACAGATAGCTAGACTGTGTCGAAGTTTTTAAACCTCATAGTAGGTGATTTTTCGTTTTAAATTAAGGCCCAAGAGCTTGTTAATCGCCATTTTTGACTCTCATATCAGTCTAATTTATTTTTAAAAAATTATCTAGCCAGCGCTTTCTGGAAAAGTTCTCCATATCTAAAAATGTATTCGGTATGATTTTTAAAATGGAACAAGTCAATAGATATTAGTAACATTGTGCCAAAGCCTTGCTGGATAATACCCTCTCCCCTCGACACAGAACTGCCGGGGGTCCTTTACCTTCTATCTTAACTTCTATCGAAGTTTGTGGACACCTTTTGTCTGTCTATTTTAAGTCCACCTTTTAACACATAATACATGCTCAAAAATGGCCAGGATTTGTACAAATCATGAATTTTAACTTTCCCGTACCGGCCGTAGCAGCGTGCGCGCAGGTAACTAGGCCGACTGTCACCAACGCGCGCCAAAGCCTTTTCTCCAGCTGGATGTTGTGTGTACTCGGCATAGAGATCAATGGTACTCGTGGCTGAGAACCGCCGTGCCGTTGTGCGGTGAGCATTTTCGAAACCAGTGGATACGCGGCGCTATACGATCATGGGGTGCGTTCGATTAGCTTACACGTGTAAGTCAAACTTACACCAGAGCGTTCGTTTAGCCATCACGTGATCCTCGTGCCTGCCCTGGTGTCAGCCACTACTACCCCAGCTGGCGAGCGAGTCCTGGAGGCTGCCGAGTGTAATGACGTCACGGATGGACTGTTAAAGCATGGACGTACATGATGGAACGTGGCGGGGACTTGACCTTTTTCCCAGAATGCCTTGGAAAACACACTGCAGCGTTCGATAAGCCTCATTTTGAGACTTCCCTTGAGTGTAACACTGGTGCGTTCAGGGAAGCTAATCGAACGCACCCAAAGGTGTAGACTTCAGTTTCGCTGGTTCTAGTCAGAACCAAAGATCGTATAGCGCCGCGTAGCAGTGCAAGATGGGGAACTTCACCATGAATACGCGCAAAACGCTATTATCATATGGGCGCCATCCTGGTTGGACTACGCCTGCGCAGTGCCGTTTAATGCGCAGGCGCAGGCGCCGCAACAGGCACACTCACACACATTAACGTTCACACTCAAATGGCATCCATGGTGATTACACCTTTATGGCCGAATTACCCATCTTGCGCGCGCTACGCGGCGCTATATAATCTTTGGTCAGAACATGTAGTTTCGATGTGCGTGTACGCGGCTCGAAATCTCGTACGCCGAATAATTGCGCGCACACTGTACGAAGTGCACTTGAGAACGGCTGAAAACAGTCCACAACACTTTATTTCCCCGTTTTTGTCTTTGGTGGTGATGTGTCAAATTTCTTAACCAACCAAGGTGGAGATAAGGACGCATAGAAGTTACAGACGTGAAATTGGCTCCTTGGAAAAGGTAGAAATAATGCAAATTTTAGTAACAAAATACCCTGGACTCCCTCCGTAATGTAGTGCCGTCAGGGAGTCCACCCGGGCTAGCTTGTCACCACACCGCCAAACATTTCAGGCATTTACTGTTTACTGGCAAGGAGCCCTAGTTAATGCATCCTTGCAATTTTCAAGTCAAGATTATGACGACACTGGGCATGGGGTACTGAGAAACAGGGCTTCAATCACAAAATATTCAAAATCCGTTAACCCCCTAACATTTTTTCTCATAAAGAATGCGAAGCATCAACTTCAAAAAGTTGCACTTGCAGTCCACATTGTTTTGCAAGTACAGCGCCCTCTATAATCTGCACTTTCCAGGCGCGTAGATTGTTCAAGTGATGTGCTGTACATGTGTGTCAATTTGAGAGAAAAGTTCCGGGAAAAAAAGCAAATCATGTCTACGTTTGCATTGGGTATGAAAAACTCGTTATGATTTTTTGATAATACGAACGTGGGCAAAATTCTTTCCTGCCATACGCAGCGATATAACAGTTGAAGAATTTACAGGATATCGCGAGATTTCCCGTGCATTGACAGTATTTAATTTCAGACCTTTTCGCTGGTACCCGGCAAGTTGGACCCAGTATAGTACTGTGAATCGGTGATTGACCTGCGAGAACGGATACCCACATTTTCACAAGTGAGCGACGACAACGGAGACTCGTCCATATGACGTCACTCGGGCTAGATCATCAACAAGGAAGCAGGTCAACAGCGAAGGGTGCATCAAGCGATCGTTTTGGCTGATAGCTACCTTCGCAAAAAGGACTTTCTGTTGGAAATTGTACCTGCATTTCGGAGTGTAGGGGGTTCCAAACATAGCTCTGTGTTCCAGGTAGCGGTGTATGTTGAAGGTGACAGTGTCCTACCAGAAATAATTGGTTTGTGGTGCGCCTCGAAGTCGAAGCCCCGGTGGTGTTTTCTTCCGGAGATTTCACTTGCTGGGTTAAGTCACCGTGTGAGGTCTTTTTATTTCGGCCGAGCGCCTACCCGGAACAACTGTGAACACCCCAAAGTGGACTTGGAGTTGAAGTGTTTGTTTGGTAAGCTTCATTCGTTTTGCAATTGAGCAATTAAATTTTGTGTTGGCAGTAACCTGTTCCACATTTTCAGTTTGTTAGGTTTGTTCTGAAATGGTATAAAATAAAATGAGGCCTATACATTTGTGAACATGTACTACTACTACTACTAGTACTAGCATTGCAACATTTACATGTGCACGCATACGCCATGTGTATGAACTATACATAAACTAACTGTTTTCCCTACTTGGATTACTTTCCACATTAGTCATTTGTGGCTCTTGATGCTTTTTAAGGAACAAAAGGTCTCAAACCTACATTTGGTCTGAATTCCATCTCATGAATATGAATTCTTGGAGACAATTTAAATATGGAACCAGATGAAGATTTGTAGTGATAAAATTTCTGAATCCCCACTATTTCATTGTTTCCAATACAAAAGCAAAAATCATCAGGGGCTACTAGTCCATAGTCCAATATCCATTGCTTTCAGGTTTTCTTTGCAGTTTTCATTGATGTATATTGTAAGTATTGTGAGAAAATCCTGTATTTTTCAGATGCAATATCATAACTTGTTAAACCTGCCCCAACTATACGTTTACGGGCTGTTGTATTTGTCCTACATGTACTGGTAGCAGAAGATTATAGCATCATTAGAGATGGTGAGGTAAGGAACAAACAGCAAGTACTCTCGTGTAAAACATACCGTTACTGACAGCAAAATACTGGCGTTAAAACACCAACAAAAAGTTGAAAGTTTGATGAAATAGGATACTTGAGGAGCATTTCTAAGAACTGCATTAAAAAATTACATTGTAAAGACTCATTACACAAATGTACATGTACATACATGTGCATGTACACGTAGGTTGTTGGATGTAAATGGGGATTCCCCCAATGTTGCTTAAACATATTTTTGTGACATTTACAATTTACAATGTCCATGGATGAATAGTTTTAAGAGACTACATGTACAGTACATGCACTGATACCTGTTTGTAGTTTACTGAATTTAAGGAAGCGTTTTCATAAAAAGGCCTAGGGAGTTCAGATTGTGTCTCAATATTTCTCTGAAACAGGAACTTTTATGAAAAAAGAGCTACTTAGTGGTCTAGAAACCATCTATTTCAATGAAACCTAATAGTACTGTATTTTCTGCTCATGCTTTTTTCATCGGGAAGCGATTAGGGGTGACGCATCCTAAAAATATTGTGCGAGTGAGATTGCCGGAAGGTCATACGGTAATTCATGAAAAATATTACGTGTACACATGTGGGACGGATTGCTCTGAGACAGAAAAAAAAGTATGGATCAGTGATGTACAGATATACGGTATGTACGTGTACCGTTACAGTGGCTCTTTTGAAAGCCTGCCTACTCTCGTTTTAATGAAGTTGAAGACTCAAAATGCAGGAAGTACCTGTACATATACATGTATGTACATGGTAGTATGTACATGTACATGTCGCTGTCAATGTACATGGAGCCATATAAAATCTTCCCATCAATGCCGTACATACATGTACGTATGTGTACAGTGTAGGTAAGTTATTGTTTGAAGAAGTTGTAGCCTCATCTACAGTACCTACCGGGTACATGTGCATGTACATGTACCATTGTATATGTAGTTAGTGTCATGAATCATGCACAGAGCATACATGTCTATCTACATATATATGTACATGTGAAACTTTTCTTTGAAAATGCTAATGAAATACTGAAGAACACTGTTATACTGGTACATGCAGCGCTTGAATTTGACAACAGCCACTGATTATTCCTTGACGTAATGGGTTGGTCGACTTAATGACCCGGGGGATGTGGTTTCACTGTGCAGTCGAAAAAATGTGTCGAATTTGAAACAAAACATGTTCTCGTCGTTAACTCTATCGTTTAATTCACTGGAATTCTTTGGTGTGAAGTAATTTTCTCAAAATTAAGAAATCCTTTGTCAGAAAACGTGCCTGTTCCAACCTGTAATATGATGTTTTGTCATGGGTTATAAAATATTTAAAAATGATACGTGCAGCTCAAGCACATAAAAACACCATCTTTGTTTTTCCAGTTTCTAAACTCGTTTTGCAGAATATTTTACACCTTGGCCTCAGTGCCTTTCCTTTGTAGAAAAAAAGGCCTTTTTTTTCTGCCAACCCTGTTAAAAGAATCTTGCCTATGAAAAAAACTAAGATGTGATGAGCTGTACGAAAACAGCGCTGAAAATAAACATGTACATGTGCAATTTGCTTCGGCCCAAACATCAATGACCGGTCTCATGGCAGCCTCCACTGCTGTCGCATTTGTCATGTTTGTCACCTTTTTCTAAACAGCATTTACGTACATGTAACGGTAGGTCCACATGTATGTTCATGCCCCATAGCGACAACGTTCATTACAAGCGCTCATGCACACTTCATTTTCAAATAGACGACAATGGTTTTTTTGTGCAAGCAGATGATGTTATAGCGCTGAATTTTAGAATGACTGACCTCGTAAAATACTAAAGTGTAGAAGCTTAAATAAATTTCAGGAAGATCTAAACATAACACCATGAATAACAAACAATTTTCCTCCATTATTTTATGGACCCTCTCTAACAATGAAAAAATTGATATTGCAAAATGTTGCACTAATTTCATCGATGTTGTTTTATTTAAAACTTATAAAACTACATTTGCAACCAGTTTTGGTAGTTCCATGACTTTTTCTTGAAAATTCAAGTACAGCCATATCTTATTGTACACCAATAAATATATTTCTCTATACTCAGCTAGAAACAAAGATACTTGTGGTATTCAATGTAAAAAAAGTGACAAGTATACATGTACATGTAGATGGATTTTTTTTTTGGGAAATTTTTTTTTTGCGACTGACCAACCCTCCTTCAAGTCAAAAAAGATATGGGAACCATAGAACATAAAAAGGATTCCCTTATTTGATGACACTAGGCAAGGCCTATGAATAGGATATACTGTATGTACATGTACTTAGAAGAATTTTATCAGATTGCATAGCTTGCACTTAATGCGTTGTTTTCAAGCAGTTTCACACCTGTCCCCCCACTGAGTTATAAAGTGGCTCCTGTGTTTTGTAGAGCCCTTTTACATACAGTATACTATGAAATAAAAGTGGAGAAAAGAATGGTGAAAACTGAAAAGTAGTGGATTGAAGCAGAAATTGCACAAATTCCTTAACACTCACAATTGTTTAGTATCCAGAAACAGGAGAGGAGTTGCGGGTGATACATTGCCATGGTAAAGTTTAAAACTGGTTCCAGCTTAGTTTCCTTCTTAGCCATGTAGCTATTTGTACCCTGAAAAGATGCAGGGGCATTTTGAATAATAGTTTATTCAAATGTTTAACCATCCATTAGATCAGATATTTAAATAATTCAAATAAAAGTGCAAAAGGTAAAACTAGAAAATTTTGAAGGAAATATTATTTTGGGCTTTACTGTTAGGCATGTGTATTCGTCTGCTTTTAAGTTGATGAGCAGCAGTTTGAGGCTCAAAATTGCAATTATAAATTCAGAATGCAATTTTGTGACCAAATAAATACATTTTGCTTGTTCTTTTTTCACCTCCAAATACCGTGTGTTTTTTCTAAAAAAATTATTTGATAAATGTTTGAAGTGGCATAGCCCTAGTGCCAAGGCAACCAACCTCCATTCTTTTTTTACTGTTCCCTGCAGGACAGTGATCCAGAATGCTCGCCTCCAATCTCCCTCACGTCGGAGATTCTGAGGACTCTAATTGCATAGTGGTCAAGGAAGGATGGGTCAGCAAAAAAGGTGAGAGCATCAGAACCTGGAAGATACATGTGTTAGGATTCAGTGGTGATGTCTAGCCTGGCACGTTTCGCTTTCAATCAACCCTAACCCTCCCCAGGCCTTCAAAATCCATCACAAGGTTTTGAAAGATTTTGTAGGGTTGAGCAGGTTGCACCCAGCAGCTGTTCATCACATGGAGCATGAAAGTGGAAGAATCTGTACATGTACCAAGGATTTGCCATGGATTGTGTACATGTTGGTAGATTTCCTGGGATGCAGGAAACTTGGTTTACTCTGAATTGCAGAAGTGACAAATAAGTCTAAGGCAATATCTTTAAAATGTCCTTTTGTCTCGCACAAAGCAAAGATGGTTTAACTCAAGGCCTCTCTGATCTCTCAAAGTCTAGAGTGAAGTTTGGGATGATTTTGCTGGATCGAGGAAGGTAAAGTCCAGCCACTGTTGTACAGTGTACATGCACATGTACAAAAATGTACTTGCACTTTACATGTACCGGTACCAAGGGTTTGATTGTATTTTAAAGCGTTTTGCCATTTGTTTACTGCAGAGTGGAGGATGTTGGAGGATTCAGGAAAATATCTCGGGTAAAAAATTTCAAGAAAAGATAAAAATTACAGGAAAGCGTTAATATCATCTGGGAATTGAAAAGGGGGGAGGGTGCCTGCCTTAAATAGAAAAACAGGTGTTGAAAATTGAGCTTTTTATTCAGCACAATTTGCATGGTAAGTTGTTCTAATTAATTAAAGGAAGAGTTTAAAGCTGCTGTGATTTTCCCACAGTAGACAGTTGAATTGGTTAACCTAATCTGCCAATGTATATTCATAGTAACAGGTGACGTGTACCCATGCCAATTTGTTACAGCAATGGAAGAATTCAGTGATCAAAAGACTCATTCCAATCATTCTGATAATAATTCAGAGCCTAGGCCATTAATGACATACAATAAATTTCATTGCGTGAGAACTTGCAAGTTTTGTAACTGTTTGCAACAAACAGCATGAAGTTTAAATACCTGTAGGTCTCATTCAGTTTTGTATCCTCGTACAATCTGCGATCATCTTTGGTTTTGTTTACCCTTCCTCCTGCTTTCAGGAGAGTACATCAAGAACTGGAGGCCACGGTACTTCCGGCTCATGTCCAACGGCAACTACCTGGGCTACAAAGAGAAACCCACTACTCGAGCTGATGTGGAGCAAAAAGTTTTAAACAATTTCTCGGTGGCAGGTGAGTTGAGCCTTTGGCGTGAAGAAAAAAAATGGACCGACAAAGATTAAAAAAAGCAAAAACAAAACCAGTACAACAGAAATCGGGATTTGTATGCATGGTTAATCACAAAGGGCCGTGAAGATTCGTCTTTGAGTGAACCAGTCGGGACTTCTTAGCAATATCACTCACAGAATATTGTTTTGTTCTCCCATCTCTAAACTAAACAAATCAAGCTAGCATAGTTGCTCCTACCGGTAAGATACATGTACAAAATATACATGTAGGGGGCCTACACACTGCAGTACCAAGGGTAATTGTAATAGCCTTGGGACCTGCACTGTCAGAAATATTTCACAACTCTCACTGTGCCTGGCTAGACAAAAAAGGCACCTATCCAAAGGGGCAAACTGGGAACTACAGCATTAGCTGTGGTCTGGAACTTGCAGGTAAAGATATAGGGTTGTATTGTATTGGTAAGGAAAAATCCAGTCTAACAGGTACCACCTGGGTTATAAATCTTCATGAAACAACTGGTGCAGTTGCAGCACCAGTGTGTTGAACACTGTTGGCCCATGTGGATGATAAACCGAAAAGGAGAAAATTTAAAACTTTCTGATGTGGATCTGGTAAAATTGTTGGATGCACATTTCTGCTTTTGCCAAAGGAGATTCATGATGCCCATTAAGATGAAGGTCATAGTGTTCAGGTGGACCTTCACTGCAATCCAGTCCAATCCAATCCAATCTAATCCAATTCAGCCACACAGCAAACAACCAGCAGCAAGATTACACTTGTGGCCTGGGTAGCCTCACTGGACATGTTCAAAGCAGTGAAAATGTCATAAGTGAATACAGCCATGGAGCACATCGATACACCTACTTTGACCAGTTACATGTTTCTTGGCAATCTTTTTCATCTGCTCCAGTTTCTGTGGGCACTCACGTCAAAGATATATGGTGTCGTGATCTGATTGATAATCCTAATTCAGCTGTCCTGTGAGCTTTATACACTGGAGGGATATTACTGTACCATAGCTCTAAGCCTTAGGGTTGCCCCTTTTTTATTTTTGTGGTTTTCATTTCCGACTAACCCTATTTTTGGCTCCTTACTGAGGGGGAAAATCCAATCCAAGAATACTTTCTGACATAAATTTCTTCTAGGTTCCTTTCAATAAAACCTGCTTTGGATCATTTAAAATTTTCCATGGATATCTTGATAAATGAAGGTGTCATTGCAGTGATGTCATTACTGGAAGACACTGTTCATTTTTGAAGGTTTTCTGTTCAAATGAAGAGTGCAAGATTTTTAAATAAAATTTTTTTGTGACAAGAATTTGCTTCACTGGCTTAGTGTTATGAACTAAATCAACAGTGACTCACCTAAAACAGCAAAATGTCCGAAATTTTCAGCATTTATAGGATGAAAGTTGCTCTAGGTCTCTAAAGCACATTCAATGATGTCACTCTATTGCTTGTGCAGATTTACATAAGTACAGAAATATCAAAAGAGGTACAAAAATGCCCTTGAAATGGCACAACTAAAGTTGAAAATCAACTTAAATGGGACAAAAAGGAGTAATTTATAAGAACTGCATTAATAAAACTACATTGCCTTGGTCCATTGCCGGTACATGTATGTTTAAAAGTGAGTACCATAGAATAATGGGGTATGGCGTCAGATCCGGCTACTGGTACCTGTACCTGAACACCCATCTTTAACCACCTTTCAAAATGAATTGTGAAAGAACTTTTCAGACAGTGGAAAAAAAGGGTTTGAAAAAGTTTTTTTTGGGGGGGAAAGGTTTGTAGGCTGCATTGTGTATTAGCACATTTTGCTTTTGTCCGAAGTTTGTTAAGCATTTTGGTGAGACAGAACTGACTTTCGAACAGAGAATTTTTATGTACTGGTACATTTTTCCCCCTGAACGTCTTTGAATGGGGTTCCGGCACAGATCCTACAGTACCTGCCCACCACTGCACAATGTATTCAATACACCTACACAGCACACGTACATGTACCATATGCAACCTGAGCATTGCACTCAGTGAATTAATGATGTACGGTACATGTACCAGTTGGTACAGTACATATTGGTACCATTTGCATGAGGTGGTGGTTTACAAGCCTTGTTTGTTCCTGGCAAGTAATTGGTTATTTCCACCTTCATGTACCAGTACATCTACTGGTAAGTCTAAATACATGCACCGGTATTTCATCAGCATGCATTCATTTTTTGGTTTTAGTCCCCGGGAGTAAGGTCGATAATTAATGTACCCTGTACACGTACATGTAATTCATGGGAAGCCATAAGTTGCTGTGGGCTTCAGTGTATGGCTGATTTGAACGAGGTGTTAGTACTTGTCTTGTATAGCATTAATTGACAGAACTGTACAGCGGACTTTGGTCTCTAAACAGTAGGGCCTGTATGTCTTTGAACTTGCCAATTATGCTGCCTTAAAAACCTCTTGTACACACACACTGTATGGCACATCGAGGTCACAGTATTTTTATTCACATGTTGCACATGGACAGTGCTTGTACATGTACACACTATTAGTTTCATTTCATCTGAATCACCACGGCAACAAGTGCGGTAGAAGTGATGCCTGTGCATGCCCCAGTTTGTCATTAGAGCCAGAAAAAATGCCCAACGTACATGTTCTTACATGTAAACGTATGTACTGGTACATGTACTTTGCACATACATGGATCGTTTGTCCACCAAATAGCAAGAGTGTAGTCAGTTAATATCGGAAGAGTGATGAAGGAATATTAGTAATGTAGCCAAAACAGTTCCAGTTTTGGAACTATTTAAACCTTATGAAATGTCCACATGAAAATTGTCATACATGTACATGTATGCTCAGTGTACATATACCGGTACATGTAACACTTCCAAAACCCAACAGCTGTGTACATGTACATGTATCAGTAGAGCTCAGTCAGCTAGACTCTCTGACCACATATACTGTACATGTAAATTGTCATATGCTCAGTGTACATGTACATGTACACAACACTTCCGAACCCTAACAGCTGTGTACATGCAGAGCTCAGTCAACTACAGTTCTGACCAAATACTGTACATGTACATGTACATGTACATGTACATGCTACCATATGTACATGTACCTACCGTATCTGTGTTAAGTGTTTGATTGTTGGTTACCCTTTGACATTTGATGAGGTAAAGCATGGAGGAACAAAGAATACAGGCAATGATTCCCTCATGTTTTAGAGGGTGGCAGCGAGTGTGTATGAATTTTTTTTTCCAAACTGACTTAGTCAGATCCTGTTCGGCTCTACCATTTGGCTTGACATTTCAGTAGCACCCTGCCCTCATTTTTGCAGAGCTATTTGTACAACTTTACTCACTATGCAGCTTGACAGTCAACATCAGTGCCTTTTTTTAGCCTAAAAAATCTATTTTTGGATGCAGACAGCAAATAACCCACTTAGAAAGAGGTATACGGTTCCGGTACATGTAGGTTGAGGTGAAGACAGTAGGTTCAGGTGAAGACGTGAGTATGTACTGGTACCGGTACATGCATGGGGGGGGGTGGCTGGCAAGGAAAGTATGGAAATATTATAAACATAGTCACCTGACCGTAGGGCCAATTTTATGAGCAGAAAGATACTGTAGTTCTTGGACAGGGTTTGTATCAGAAATTTGGTAAAGACAACATAAACAATATGGTTTGGATATTTGCTTGTTAACTCTAACCCTGTTGAAGGCCCCAGATTCTAGCTGTGGTCGAAAGCTGTCATGTGTTTGTTGGATTAGCAAGAACTCGTGGTTGGGAGATGCGTACTTCATACAACTGCATAGTGCCTGGGCTGTTGTTTATCCAATACATTGTACAGTGCAGCGTACATGTGCATTCTGCGGGGTTTTCATTTGGAGTGAGTCATGTTCTCTCGCATTCAGTAAGAAAAGAAGGGAAAAGAGGATGGGGGTTAGAGTTCAAATTTATTTATTGGTGGAATAAGGTAGAGAGTGTGGAAGGATTTGATGATTACCTTGCGACAAATAAAATGGACATGTATCTGTAGGACATTAAAATAAAATTGGAAAAAGCCGTTAACGTTGATCACTGTACTTGTACATGTATATACATGTACACACGGAATACAAGCACAGTGTTTTGATAAGTGTATGTTTCATGAGAAAGAAACAAAAATTGACCTTTTTACTGTTTTTTTTTTTTTACATGAGGTTGAATAATCCCTTACCATTTTGGGCTGTATAGTTTGGATACACAAATATGACCGCATGGACTGAACCAGCGTAAACAAGTTCAGCAAAGTTCACCCACCGGTTTACCGAGGCTGTGTAATGTATATACATGTACATTGTACAGGTGTACATGTACATGTACACACAGGCATACACATGCTGTCCATGTACAGGCCTGGCCTGCAGAACTGTGTGTATTTTTGGTCTGGTCTGGACAACAGATAAATCATCTTGCAGTGCCTGTTGTTGCCAGCCAGTCGTTGTCGGACTTATTTTGTATGTTCGTGTATATGTACATGTACATCAGGCTTGGCCATTTGGATTTGACAGGTCTAGACTTCAGTGCTTTGCCGATTATTTTTCTCTAAGAGAGCTTGATCTCAAACATTACATGTGTAAAAACGTACCCCATTACTAGGTTATTGTAGTTATGAAGAAATAGCATTTTTACCTTCGTTCATTAATTTGTGGTACATGCACCGGTACCTGAACCTGAGACAGTTTACCAAGTGCCATTGTTGAGAGCCTGTCATGTGACTGGTCTTTAACGATAATAAAATACCAGCCAGCAACAAAAGTGCCCCCTGAACAATAGTATGTGTACATTGCTCAAATTGCCGGTATGTATTTCTTTTTCTTCTGTACATTACATTTCTGCACTGAGCCTGATTGGCAATAAAGGTAAAAATCTGTAACTTACGTTGTCAAAAAAAAAGAAAAAAGCACAGCAAGTGCACTTACGTAACTTTGATACTTTTAAAATACATGTACCTCCCCATGT